TCTTTGGCACTTGTCCTGACAACGTGCCTTCTACTGCAATGCCGGCGTTCCATCGCCGCGGAGCTCTGCAAACCCCCGCCCAGAGACCAGATGCTTCAGTCTTTTCTCACCGCATCACCCATCATCCTGACGGCTCGCATGCAGGAATTGTTCAAGCGATCACAGTCGGTGACAGGGGATAAACTGAATTTGGAGTTTGATGTCAGCATTCTGGTAGTGGGGGTTTTGAAGGCGCCCGAGGGCTTCCAGGTTCCCAGTGAGATCCTCGTCAGAGGTTTTGTAATGCCAACAAAAAATAACAAACCCGTCGGCCCGTCTGGACGTCTCAGAGAACCGACTTACAGTCGATTTGGATGTATGGAGTATTTCCGCACGAATGCGGCCTACACTCTGATGCTAAAAGTTGGCCAGCCGAGAAACGATTGGCCGAGCACTCGTGTCGAGTTAATGGAATTTGACCTAGTGGGACCACTGTTGCCCTTCGATACCTATTACAATCGTCACATCCTCGACCTCCTATGTGTCAACTGCTGTAAGTTTACTGAAAACTGTTCATTTTAATATTTGAATATTATTTAAAACCTTTTTGAGTGGAATTCTTTTCGGTAGCAAACGAATATTTGTGTGTCCCTGAACTATCTTCCTATAAAGCTCTGTTTTTGATAGATCCAAACAACTGTGCCGATTAAATACGATTTCTCCCCTATCTGACGACACCAAGTGCCCTCCCTGTTTGCCACTGCCCGTGTAGCAGAAATAACTGTGAATCATAATGCAGAGAGTTTAGATATATGCACTTTAGACTCAGTGTTAAAGCATTAACCAGGAAAGTACTTAATTCTCTCGAAAGAAAGTATTCAAATGTTTGGTTTTTGTTGTATGATAGCCTCCTTTTTGCCAGTTTGTTTATATATCGTGTTCTTCTCGGTAGAGAACAGATCTATGTATCTCCCTGATGTAGTCTTCTATAGATTACTATTTTTGGTGCATTCAAACAACTTTGCTGCGTCGACATGTTTTTTCTTCTTTACCCATATAAGGGCATCGAGTCTCTTCCCTTATATATATATATGGCACATGTTTAATACTTGTCGTAATACTTGTTTGTGGAATGGGTATTACGTGATTATCCTACACAAGCCTTATGTCTTCGACTCAAATTTCCATTGAACCTAAAAAGTCATGTTCCAGCAACCCACTTCCAAGTCAAGCACTTAATAATTTAGGGAATTATTTATCCGATTATTATCTGGAGATAATATACCTGAAACCGTATAGGAAACCTTGGGGACCCACTGAGGAACCGGACCCCTCGCAGCTGTGTCAAGCAGCGGCAGAATACCGGCGAAACACATGTCTGGGCTTTTAGATAGTACCTATACGGAAGTACGGTGTGACATGTTTAACATACAGATTTCATACTACTCGTGGTACTACTTGTTTGTAGAATGGACATTTGCGTGGTTATTCCACAGCTGTTAATTGTTTTCAGCCACAATTGTCCTCGAAATCTCGGTTCTGACCCTAAAAAGTAATGTTTCAGCAACTCACTTCCAAGTCAAGCGCTTAATAAGTTAGAGAATTAATTACCCGATATATATATGTATATATCCTCTCCTTAAGTACCCCCTATTGTCACTATTCGCGTATAAAAACAGCCTTGCACTATAGATTAGGGGTTTTACATGTATGCGCTTTCAACTCAGCCTTTAAGCATCAGCCAGAACATTACTCAATTCCCTCGAAGGAAGGCATTAAACATGTTTGGTTTTCGTTTTATCAGTTTGTTTATACATCATGTACTTAGTATAGCCGGTACCAGTCGACGTTTTAAGATTATGAAAGTCTGAGTCACCAACGTCCTCCTCTATAATCCATAAATAATGCTATTATTGAACAAATATGAACTATAAGGGTGGTTGAATTTACGGAATTGAAACGCAGAAGTCAGGTTAGCAGAATTTGTGCTCGTTATATCAGCGTTGGTGAACGAAACTTCTCCTACAGAATTTGTTCATAGAAGACTTCGTCCCCTTCGAAGTACGTAAAGAAACAAATGAACTTTTTCGGTTTACAATTAAACTGGTCACTCCTGTGAATTTTTAAACTTATCTTAACAATCCTTTTTTTTCAAAAAAAACTGACCCGTTTTCAGACGGTTCATGTGTAGGCCTACGGGACGGCTGACTAGACCATTATTGATGATTAGGCAACAAGCTTCTGCGGGTGTATTTGGCGTGAAGTCATGTAGTGATGCTAGGGTACCAGAATTTATCGTCTTGTCAAACAAAATATCTTCAGTGTCGGACTCCGCATGTCCCCCGTCTTCCCCACTCGTTCCCCCAATCGACGGAAGACAGTTCAGGATGAACTGGCACGGGCGATCCAGCACGACGTGCATCGTGCTAAGACCGCGTACCCACGCATGCAAGCCGATTCTTGTTAACAACTGAGGGTGCCAAATTCCTGGCAGACAAATGAGGCGGCAATTCGTCATTCCTAATTGCTGTTAGTAGGAGGTGTATGTGTGCGTGTGAACTGCTTCAGCTGAACCTCGGTAGGGATGATTTATATGGCTATCTACGCATGATACGGAAACAGGAACGCCCCGCTTGCGTTAACTTTCAGGAAAGGCAAATATTCCCGTGTCTTAAACCGAACATAACGAGTTCGAGGCTCGAGTGGGGTACCACGTTTGTCTGGGTATGACTGGCTGACGACGGCTACTA